AAAGGCACAAATAAAAGCAGTGCACGTTTATTTACTCAGTAGTTCAGGCTTTCTATAAAGTTAGATGGGCCTTATGATTAATCAATTAGTTCAGATTTTTAAATTTTTGTTTTGCGAATTTGTTGCTTATGGTTTGGACAGTGAAATCTGAGCCGAGCAGATTTATTTTTGGTGCCATTTTAAATGGTTGGTACTTGGTGTATAAGAAGCTAAAAATGATGAGCCAGCATAACATTACTTTCAGTTAGTCATGCTATTTAAAATTTAGTGCTTACAAGTGTGTGCATACGTTTCCAATAAAGACTTATTTGCTACAGCAGAAGAGTGCTTTTCTTAACATTTTGTGCTTCATTTTCACACTCATGTTTATTCATCATTGTTTGCCTGTACTGGTTCTTCAGTCTCTAAGGACTGACTCTAGGTGGACAGTACCGTCTTCTCCAGAGTCTTCACCTTTGGAGGTTCAGAAGATAGTAGGTCCCCCCTTATCCACAGCAGATGCCTGAAACCACAATAGTACCAAACCCCATGTAGACTATGTTTTTTCCTATACTTACATACCTGTGATAAAGTTTAACGTATAGAGAAAATCCAAGATGGCTGCTCGGGTAGGCACCTAGCCGCAGCCGCACGCAACAATTTTAATAAAATACAACTAAAATATAAAATGGACATTACCCAGAACTACAGGAAAGTCGACTGACTGGAAATTCTACAACAAGAAGCAAGGAGATAACCAGAAGGAAGCGCGGAGGAGCTGGAAAAGCCTAAGGTATGGAGACACGCAGCGCGTGGAGAGGACGGAGCCGGAGAGGAGGGAGCGGAGTGCCTGGTGGGCGTTCCCTAGCGGGAAGGAGATAAACGCTCCGACTGTGCTGGGCCCCCGACTGCTCTGAACCCCAGGCCTAGGCCAGACCCCGGGGACCCAGGCTCACACAGAGGGAGCCGGGCTGAAAGGCAGAACCCGGGGAAGAGGCGAAAGGAGGTCCTGGCGGCGCCGCGCAGAGACGGCTGGCTGTGCCGCGGGATTGCCTGGCGGGAAGGAGACAGGGGCTCCAGACTGCTCTGAACGCCACCTCCAACTCCACTTCCAACTGAACTGAACCCCAGTTCCGGGCTCAGTGGGGGAGAGCATTGACTGTTTGGCAGCAAGCGAAAATCGAGGGCGCCTTTTTCTCAGAGGCGCTTACAACAAGTACTGAAGGACCCTGAGTCTCAGGAGTCGCATAGGGCGGGGCTGACGGAAGCCAAAGCTGTAGGCTCCACCCTGAAACCCCGCACCATCAGGAAAGCTGCCTGCGAGAATGCCTAAACCAAATAGATCACAAACGAAAGAAATGGAGGACAAAAAGCGACTGGATATAGAGTTCAAAACCACACTTATAAGGTTTTTCAAGAGTTTCCTAGAAAAGGCTGATAAAATAAATGAGACTTATGAGGATATGAAAAGGGATCAACAAGAAATAAAGAATACATTGTCTGAAATAAAAACTATTATACAGAGTCCTAAAAACAGAATAGAAGATCGCAAGAATCAAGTCAAAGATTTGGAACATAAAGAGCCAGAAGATACTCCTCTGCAGAAGCTAGAAGGCAAGAGAATCCAGAAAATTGAGAATCAAGTCAAAGATTTGAAACATAAAGAGCCAGAAGATACTCCTCTGCAGAAGCTAGAAGGCAAGAGAATCCAGAAAATTGAAGATGATGTAAGAAACCTCTGGGACAACTTCAAACGATCCAACATCAGAATTATGGGGGTCCCAGAAGATGAGAGAGAGCAAGATATCAAAAACATATTGAAAGAAATAGTGACAGAAAACTTCCCCCACCTGGGGAAAGAATTGGACTTACAAGTCCAGGAAGCACACAGAACTCCAAATAAAAGGAATCCAAAGAGGACCACACCAAGACAAATCATAATTAAGATTCCAAGAGCAAAAGACAAAGAGAAAATATTAAAAGCAGCAAGAGCTAAGCAGGTAGTTACCTATAAAGGAGCACCTATACGATTGTCAGCTGACTTCTCAACAGAAACCATGCAGGCCAGAAGGGAATGGCAAGAAATATTCAAGGTGATGAATAGTAAGAACCTACAGCCAAAGATAATCTATCCAGCAAAGCTATCACTCAGATTCGAAGGTCAGATAAAGAGCTTCACTAATAAAAAAAAGCTAAAGGAGTTCATCAACACCAAACCAGAATTATATGAATTGCTGAAGGGGGTTCTTTCAGAAGAGAAAGTAAATAAAGATAAAAATTATGAACAACAAATTCGTAATTGTCAACAAGTGAATCTAAAAACCAAGGAAATTAAAAAAAAATCTAATGAACAATATTAACTGTTGAATATAATAGAATCAGAGGTATGGAAGGGGAGTGAACTGATGATTCTTGGGGAAAAGGGGAGAGGGGGATGGGGGAAGAGACTGAACATAAACTGTGCACCTATGGATGAGGACAATGGGGGGAGGGGAAAGGGCAGAGGGTGGGGTGGGAAGGGGGGGAAGGGACATTTGTAATAATATGAACAATAAAAACTAAGGGAAAAAAAAAAAAAAAAAGTTTAACGTATAAATTGGGCACTGTAAAAGATTAACAATAACTAGTAAAGTAGAATAGTTATAACATTATACTGTAGTAAACGTTATGAGAATGTGCTCACTCCCTCTTCCCCTTCTCCTTCCCCTACTACTCCCAACCCATATCTATCTCTCTCCCTCTCTCTCTCTCCCTCTCTCTCTCCCTCTCCTTCTCTCTCTCCCTTTCTCCCTCTCTCCTTCTTTCCCTCTCTTCCTCTTTCCTTCTCTCCTCTCTCTCTCTGTCAAAATATCTGTTAACCAGTCTAATGACTGAGAGGGCTGTCAAGTGACTAACAGCCGGGTAGTGTATTCATCGTGGGCACACTGGGCAAAGGGATGACCCCTGTTCCAGGTGGCACAGAGTGGGACAGCACAGATTGTATCACACGACTCAGAAGAGTATTTAGAACGTATGAATTGTTTGTTTATAGACTTTCCCATTTAATTGTGGGAGGGGGGGGTCTGGAACCTTTATTTTTAATTTTTTTTATCGTTTAAAGTATAATATTACAAACAGAAGTACATATGTCTCCTTTTTTCCCCATTGATAATTGTTTTTAGGGCCTTGTTAACTGTGGGTCATTGGAACAGTGGAGAGTGAAACTGCGGGTAAGCGGGGATGACTGTCCCCATGGAGGTCCTAGTTCACCGGTGTCCTTGCACACCCACCCTTAGCCCTCTGTGCTGTGCACTGAGCTCATAGCACTGACCGCGTTTTCCTGTGGTTGTTCGTGACTCCGTCTTTCCCAGGACACAAGACATTTCAATAATTATTATAGGTAAATGGTATACCATCTGCCAGAAACTTCATAGCACCTTTGCATACATTACTTCATTTAAACCTCAAAATAGTGTGAAAAGGAAGCACTGTTTTCTCCATGATGTAAATGGAAAAGCTAAGGCTTCCATTTTAAACACGCTGGGATGTGCAAACAGAACCCCCGACTCTAAAGGAAGAACTCAGTACCTTAAACCAGTAACCACATAAGCTGTTCACCACGAGGGGCTGAGTGGCGCAGCCGCTGACGAAGCGTGTGTCCTCACACCGATCACCCACGGCCGTAAAGCCCGTGATGCTGCCTGATCCTTTTCCTAACCTTCTTATGAACAAGGTAAAGTCTGTCCTCCCTTGGATACACCATCCTCACAGTAGTTTGAGAGGCAGATCAATCTTATTAACCCCAGATTTCAGAGTATCATATCACAGCCAAATTTTTAATTCCTATTCCCAGACACTGTTCCTGAGTTTAAGTGTCGTGTCTAATTTCATCAGTTCTAAAATTAGAAAGAGATGTGATTTTATTGGTTTATTTTCTGAATGCACCCCCTGCTTTATGCTGGTGAATAAGCATGGCAGTAATAGCTACCATCTATTGAATGCTTGCTACGATGCTTAGTGCTTTACAAACAATGATCCTACAAAATAGGTTTTGGTACTTTGCCATTTTACAGATAGGGAAACTGAGGCTCAGCGAGGTTAAATGGCTTGCTGGTTTTACCTACTACTCCTTCCATCATAGATCTGATAAAGGAGTGCATTAGGAATTTGTATTCCCTTTCTCTGGACTTTTTGAATCAAAACTCTGTCTTGCTAGTGATGTGACTTTGGGCTAATTACATACATCTACTGTGTATCACTTTCTTGACTTGTGAAATGGGGTGATGATATCATTTACCTTCATGTGATGGTATGGATTGACTGAGCTACAAAATAGAAGGTACTTAGCACAGTGCTTGACACAGTGTCGGCTTAATAAGTGGTGCTATAAAAATAACAATTACTATTATGATTATTATTCACTGGATTTTGACTATGGAAATCAAATACTAAACCATATAGAAGTACACGAAGTAAAAAATATCCCCCTCTCTCCACCACCTCCCAGTTCCTCTCCTGGCATTAACCACTGACACCAGTATGGTATGTGTTCTTCCAGAATATTTCCTATGCCATCTGAAAGTTGTTTTTTGTGTGTGTTTTTTTTAATATATCTTCTTGATTTTTCACAGAGAGGAAAGTAGAGGGACAGGGAGTTAGAAACATCGATGAGAGAGAAACATCAATCAGCTGCCTCCTGCACACCCCCTACTGGGGATGTGCCTGCAACCAAGGTACATGCCCTTGACGGGAATCGAACCTGGGACCCTTCAGTCCGCAGGCCGATGCTCTGTCCTCTGAGCCAAACCGGTTTCGGCCTGAAGCTGTTTTTAAAATTGCCCTTTCATTAGTAAAGTACAGCTCCGGAGTAAACATGTTTGAGAGTGGGAGATAGAAAGGTAGGAAGGGAGACGGGTTCGTTGGTTCAGCAGATGTTTCTCAGATGCTCTCTGTGTGCCGAGGCCTCGCCTGGGCGCCGGGGGCTTGGTGTGTTGCGCTTCTGTTCTGACTGTGTACGGATTTTCTCTCTCGGCCTTACTTAGGACATGATGTATCAGCTTCTCCGAGGCCTGGACTTCCTTCATTCCCACCGCGTAGTGCATCGCGACCTAAAGCCACAGAACATCCTGGTGACCAGCAGTGGACAGATAAAGCTGGCTGACTTCGGCCTGGCCCGCATCTACAGTTTTCAGATGGCCCTGACCTCCGTGGTGAGTGAGAAAGTGCTGTTCTTTCACGAAGCTCGTTTTAAACGTCCCCCCCCCCCCCCGATGTTGTGATTGCCAGTGGTCAGCGGGTGCCAGAGCCTCTGCACTTTGCTCTGTGGCAGTGGAGGGGGAGGAGAGCGTTCTGCTCCCCGCTACAGACACATCCGGGCCGGGCTTGCTATGGACGGGACCCGGTGCAGAAATAGCTTGTTGCTTCTTAGTCACTGGAGAGGAATCCGTTACAGATTCCCAAACACTGTCTGCCGTAACCCTCTTTTCAGAGCTGCGTGTGTAGATAACGTCCGGGGAAGCACAGCCCAAGGTCTGGGGGGGGGGGGGAGGGGGGGAGCACCAGCCAGGGGGCCTGCACAGGTGTGTGAGAGCACTCCTGTGAAGCTCTGCTGTCAACTGGGGGGGAGAGGGGGGGAATTAAATGTGCGTTGAACTTGGATGGCCCATCAACAAGTAGCACCACCCTGCCGGGCAGAGGCTCGCCCAGGCCCAAAGAGAAAGGCTCTGTTTTGGCAAAGAGTCACAGTTATGATATCCTGTTCTATGTCCCATTCAGGCCCCAAAAAAACAAAATAGCTATTGACTTTGGTGTAGCTTCTATTTCTCCTTCTAGTTCATTGTTTCTGAGATGAATTTTTAGGAACTTCTGCATCCCAAAGATAAAAATGAGGAACCTAGACGTAGACACTGATAGCCCTTCTCTTTGAAAAGCCTGCTTTACCAACAGTGAATTCGTGCACAGGTTTTTAAAAAAAAAAAAAAAAAAAGGCAAGACATTCCCCTTTGCTGTGCTACCGGTCTGAGGCAGAGGGTGGATGTGGAGAATTCCTTTGATTCTATGATGACTATAGAAACGGCCCTCAAGGCATTAGATTAAGCCTTAAGGCAGAAAATCCTCTTGGGTAAATATGTCATTTTTCACCTATAATCCAGCTTTCTCGTGTTTTATTTTCACTGATTTCTGCCTTTCTATGACTCAAGTACAGTTGACAAAGAGCGCAGCGTAGTGATGAGGCATTTCTATAACTTATGAAGTTACCCCTCTGGAGGGAGAGTGGGGGGTGCGTGGAAAAGGGGGAGGGATTAATACATACAAGTTGCTGGTTGTGAAGGCGTCTCAGGATGTAACGGACAGCACAGGGAACATACGGTGGCCTTTGTGTTTAGCATCTCCAGCCCCGGAGTGGGTCTCCATCGGGGGCAGCACCGTCCCGGGGGTGGCGCGTCACTGAGGAACCTATAACCGTGTCTCGAGACCACAGAGACTTGGGGGGTGGACGCAGCTACGAGGAGGCTGATACTCTGCACAACAAAAAAACTGTTTCCCCACATCCCATGAATGCCTCCCCTGCGAAGTAGAACATTGGTAGGGAAGTCAGAAATTCTCTGAGAGGGATAACTTGCCTTCGGAAGACGTTCCGTTTACAAAAGTGTTCTGCTTTTCCCCACCCTGAAATTGGGGTAACTACCACCTGCACCAGTGAGGTAACATACTTTTCCCAACATGCCATCCTTTAGCAAACCCGTCAAACTCACGTTTAAATGTGGCCCCCACCAGCTGAGAGGTGGACATGCTTTACCTACAGCATCCAAAGTTTGAGGGGGGTTCCTTGGGAAATGTGTCCCCATTATTATTGAAAGGTACAAGGTACTTGTTTCCCCTCTACCCAGCATGCACCACCGTTTCTGAGGAGACAAGGCACAGGATGGTGTTTGAAGGATACGCCTCAGTTTTGGGCTGGGTAAGGCAAGCCCTTTATTCTTATATAATCACACCAGAAAGGGCCGAGGCTGTGTGTTTCCCAGTGGGAAGGGTGAGGTAGGCTGCAGGCTTCCCCAGGAAGTACTTGCGCATGTTGTAGCAGGGCCCTGGGGAGAAGCTTGAATAGGCTTGACAGTCATCCCAGGAGCAGATGGGAGGAGCTGGTCCCCTGGAGGACATTAATTGAGGGAAGAATGAGCCATCACTGAGACACTTTGATTCCCCGAAGTGGGTACTAAAACCCACAAATAAAAACAGGAAACTCAGTTGGTTTTGTGTTTGTTTGTTTTTTTCTTATTAAATTTAAGGAATGGTAGCCTGGCTTGTGCATAACATCAATTAACATTCCATGCTTGCCTGAAAGTTGATAGGTCCAGACAGGAAAATGCAGACAAATTATTTCATGTGGCAAGGCAATCATAAATAAGCTGATTTTTCTGGTTTGTGCTGCTTACTCTGTATAAAGTTTAAAAAAAAAAAAATAGACACTGGCAAAGACACTGGAACAAACACAGATTTTCCTTGAAAGTGATGCTTGGAATTTAATGGAAATAATAAAAGGTATGATTCCTTTAGGGTGCTGCATTTCAAATTTTCCCCATTGTTTTTTTTTGTTTGTTTTTTTTTTTAAGGGGGAAAAAATCCATTTAGCATAGTGATATATTGGTTCACATACACATGGTGACATATAAAGACTTGGAATCGCAATTTTCCAGACCAAACTGGTATTTATTTTTCCACTTCCTGAAAATACACATTTTTTCGTGGGTTATGTCATACAGGAACTGGGAATGGACTTAATCTGTGGAATGTTAAAGGCATTGCAAGTTAACTGATTCAAAACTGACATTGTGCTGCATGAGGAATGCTGATGTATTACCTTCCGAAGCCTGACTGGACGTTCCCCTCTGGTGCCTCCTGCATAACTTAATCCCTCCTTTCTCCCTCAGTGATTCCATAGGGACGTCTTATTAATGTCTTTCTTGATACTGCTTTCTGTCCTATTTGAAATTATTTGGGGTGGGCGGGTTAGTTATCGGGCTTTACGCTCTTGAAGGAGTTAGCCTTTGGGTAGCTTCTCATTTAGGGCAATCACTAAGTCTGCACTGTAGTTGTTGCTGTGAGTGTATAATAACATACGTCCACATGATTTCACCTGCCTCCACCTGGTAAAGAAGGGTAAGTGCCTGTGGACACCTAACTGTCCTGGGCTGCCTCCAGCATGGCCCTCAGGGGTGGGTAGGGAGTCTTGGGTCATTACCGCTCATATATAATCAGGCATGCACCATGGATACCCCTACACAGTGCTGTTTATACCTATTGCTTAAAAGGCTATAGAATTAAGATGTGGGTCGCCACCACGTATACCCCGAGCCTGGGTCTCCTGCTTCAGAGGTGCCTGCCCTGGCCCTGCTTCAGCCATGCCTCCTTTAATGGGGCAGGAAACCCAGGACACCAAAGAGATATACCGCCTGGAGCCCGAGACACACCCTGCCACACTCAGGGCATTGGAATTCCCTGGCTGAACGGGAATTGCATGAGCAATCCTCAGGTTCTTCCTCCTAACAGCACACTGTCCCCATGAGCTCGCCTCAGCCATTCGCAGGCGAAGGGGCAGAGTGTGCACATGACCTGAGTGTCTGTGAGCATCGGAGGCCCCTGGTGAGATAAGGAGCTGGGGACGTGAAGAGACGTGGGGACCATCTCACGTAGCATGGGTTCTTTTTTCAGAAAAGCTGCTCTGAAACCATGAAAATCAATGTTTTGGCCTGATTGAAAGAGTACCTTTTTTGGAAAACCAAGGACAGGTCATGGGGAGGGCCTTTCCACTGCACAAGAGCGATACGTGAAAGTCACGACTGGTGCAGTTCTATAATCTCTGTGGCAGAAGTGGTTCATGAATATAAGCTTACCCAACAGAAGGACGAGGAGACTACGTGAAGTTACTTGTGGAGACATTCTCATGCGAACATTTCTAAGTACTTCCCATGTCACACGTGGTGTATGGTGCAGCTCATTTTTATCTGTGTAGACAGAAGGGAAATAGAGACCAACTACTCAGCCAGAAGTGTTAGCCATGCCTGGCAGGAGGGTCTTAGAGCACAGCCTGGTCGTCGACAGCCACCCCATGATGACTGCTAGTGATGCAAGTTCTTTATCACTTTTCCCCCAAACTGCATCGTAGCAGGCTCACCATACTATTGCCACTGGATTTGGTGTTTTGGGGAACTCCTTAGGAACCACCTCACTGTGCAAGTGAGTCACCCACAGGCATTCCGTGACCAGGTTAAGTCTGAATTCACCGATTGTAAATGGAGAACGCGCCACCGTGCCCACTTCTTCCCTCTTCTCGCCGCCGTCGGCTCCAATACTTCACAGCATATCCAGCTGTGTTCCGTGGACTCTCTGGTTCTACAGAGGGTGTCCGGCAGCTCCACAAATGCCCAGTAGTCCATCTTTAAAAATAAATTGTAAGTCTTGCTGAAATTATAAGTTAAAACAACAACAACTAGTCCATGCAGCATTTTGACACAGTGGTGAACCACCGAGGCACGAATGTGTGCCTCTTGTTGGCCGATGGTGTATGTAGACTTCGGAGTGAGACTTCTTCTGCCATCCTTGCACACAGTTGAATGTCTAATCGATGTATCCTTGCTTAGGAGAAATCGAGCGTTCCATATTTTTCCCATTGATTTTTTTTTTAATTTTTTTTACAGTGGAAGGGAATGGGAGAGAGATTCACATTGATTGGTTGCCTTCTGTACGTACCCCAACCCTTCCTGTGCTCCAGCCACTGAGCAACACCGGCCAGGGCTCAGAAGCCTTTTGATGAACCTAAGGGAGGAAATGAATGAAATGGAGCTGTGCCATTCAGTCCACAAATAATTATTGATCGCTTTCCCTGCGCCAAGTATCCCGAGAGACAATAGTGAGACAAATGAATAAAGTCTTTGCTGTTATAGAACCTACCATCAAAAGGGAGACAGGTCTTCATCAGATAGTCTCACAAGGAAATGTGCAGTGAGAAACAGAGATAACTATATAGGACACAGTTCTGCGGGGCCATGTGACCCTGGAACCCTCATTGGCTGGGGGTTAAGGAAGCCCTCCCTGCTCGCCCGGGCCAGCCCGCGCGGGATGCTCAGAGAGGGCTCGGGCACCCTCCTCTCCGAGCCCACCTGGACACAGGCCCCGTGGCCGTGGGCATCGTACAATCCCTGCTTATGTT